CTCTGAAACGTTGGTAAACATCGACCAGACTACACAGCGCAACAACCCAGAAGACAGAAATCTTCATACTCTGATGACGGAGGCAGTATGACCTCTGAAACGTTGGTAAACATCGACCAGACTACACAGCACAACGACCCAGAAGACAGAAATCTTCATACTCATCGCCCTGATGACGGAGGCAGTATGACCCCAGAAACGTTGGTTAACATCGACCAGACTACACAGCACAACAACCCAGAAGACAGAAATATTTTGTTTTCGAATATTTTCTATTGCACATTGTAAATCCTCAGTAATTAATGTAGGATCTTAAAATATTCGAATAAACCAAACAGGACGCAGGATCAGTACACTTGTTTTGCAGAAGAAAGCTTTATTTTCCTGAAAGGGCGTCGGATATCCTGAATTATTTTCTGTAATTTTCGTCAGTAACTACAAATTAAGGTTGAGAAAATAATTTAACACTCTTCATACTGATTACTTAAAAGCTTTTATCCTCTCAACGTATAATTTTCAAGTTAAAAGGCAAGAATAACTACCTTCAGCTGTTAAGAAACTTTATAAGAAATTTCTTTCATTGGTCTCGCACACCAAATAAATTCAATCCGGAAGGGACGCTGCTCCTAAAGACGTATCTTGAACGTAGCATTCGAAATGTTAAATTAACAACTGCTCGTTTATACAGACTGTTTTTTGCTAATGACTCCGGAAATCTTTTAAGCAGCAGTTAGAAAATATTCTTGTCTTCTTAGAACAAAAAATAAAATCGGTTTCTATATCCATAAAAAAGAGGTGCGATAAACTTAAATTGGCCCCAACATTAGACAGATTATAAATCTACGATGCTCTACGCGCCTTCAGATATTCATAATTACTCAGCAAGTCAGAAAATTGCATGTTTTTGTGGCGTCCGAATGTTCATCACAACACTTACAATAGTCGCCATGAACATCAAAATCTCTTATCACTTTTAATGTTATCCTGTCGTCTACAAAGACTTAGAAGTTTTCCGACTAGTTTTTGTATGCATTTTTCATGTTCCTGCCACCACACCCCATCTTATGTAATCGCCCTCGTAACAGTCGGTGAAGAGCACGTTACAAGAAGCATCCCATAAAACGTCATATAAGGCAGTTCATACTCTGTCCGTCATTGGCTACAGTCACAAAGGAGAATCAGTTACCTCTTGGAGGATCGAGCAGTTAATGTTTATTCCGGTCAGGGCTCTTCTGTTTAATTCCTTTGATCCTGCTCCATATAACTTAACAATCTCCTAAATTCTTCTTTCTCCTTTTAACAGTCCGTGTTTTGAGGTTCGTATATTGCTGCTTGTTGTTATTTATTTAGTGTTCTGTCTGACGACAGGTCCATATGAACAGGATCCTTCCATCCTTTTCTCGGACTGGGACCTGTTCATATACGTTCTCGGCAGATGATCCAGAAGTGGTTTGCCATTGCCTTCTTCTGTGTGTGAATGGAGTAATTGTTGGGATGCCACGGAGAAACCGGGGAAGCCCCCGGAGGAAACCTCCGTGTTGCCTAGACCACGGCCTTGCCGAACACAAGTTATAAATTCGGGCACCGCCGAAAATCGAACCCGAGACCCCAAGATTACAAGGCCAGCTTTCTAACCGCTAGACCAGCTTGTTGTTACTCACTTATAATTTAATGTTTTGTGAGTTTGTAACAAACTCGTGGCAACATAAAGTTTTCACACCTCTCTTAATCTGGGATTGGTAAAAAAGTCAACTACATTTTCGCGTATAAATTTTGTTCAGTTCTGTATAATTTAGAAATATATGCACCTTATTTCCATATAGACATAATATTAAAAAGTTCTCAATTCTAAAATTTGTTACTGTCGTGCGTTGTTGAAGTAAGCTGTTTTCTGGATATTATCTAACGTCCGATATTAAATAAAATCAGTAAAAACCACGACGTTTCGAAAATGGGAGTCTATCCCCGTCCTCAGGTAAAACTTACTCTGTTGGGCCCAATCAATAGATCTAATCCCTATCTCCGGACCTGAGGACGGAGATAAGATTTCCATCTCCGAAACGTCGTAGTTTTTGTTGATTTAAATTAATCTTAGACGATGTAAAATATCCATAAAACAGTTTACTTCAATTAAAAAATTAGTTCAAGATATTGTAAAATAGTAAGGTAGCTGTCTTCGGGATTGTTCGTACTCATCTCCGTCACAACCTCAAATCCTACTTACCATAGAATTCTTATTAAATAAATATTACATTATTTAGTATTTCATAAAACAAATGGATCTTGAAGTAAGTGTGTTTATTATCAGCATATTGAAGTCTAGTACGTTCTTGAAAGGATTCTAATTGCAACTTAGGGCAAAGAAAATAAGTTGAAGCCTGTCTTTATCACATCGGATTTAACCTCAAACATCAACTTTGCCTCAGTATTAAAAACATCGCATTTATGTCTTCGCCTTTGTTAAATACGTTCGTTATGTTTTGTCTTTTGTTACCATTTATTTTGTTCTATTCTACGTGGCATACCCAAACCCCCTAGACCAGTGGTATTCAACCTGGGGTACGCGTACCCCCGGGAGTAGGCGAAGACATCTTAGGGGGTAAGTGAAATTTAAAAAAAATATTATTTTATGATAAACACTGAATAATCAGTAATGTAATTTATTTAATTTATTTTAGATGTAGATTATATACTATGTATAACTTGGATTATACACCAATAACTTCGGGGGTAAAAATTTGAAGAGAAAGGTTGAATACCACTGCTCTAGACGACTATGTGTCACGTGGTCTTGAAGAAAGACACTGCATTACGGATTATACCTCTCACGTCGAAGTTTTACCCTGAATTTTCGAATGTTTCTGAAGGAGAAACACTGCAGTTTTTATTCTTGTAGCATAATCTGTTATAAGACTAGTTACAGTGTTTATATTTAAATGGTTTGTCTTTCCAATGTCATATTAATTCGTGGTTCCCTGCTAAAATGGTCACATTGATAGGAAAACTTGAAGAAAAGTTGAATTACACATAATAAACCATTTCCTGAACAACTCTTTTTCTGTAGAGGAACCTGAGTTCATAGTTTTATTCCAAGAATTGCACTGCTACAAAGCCTTACGCTTCTGTATCTCAGGAGAGCTGTAGTAAATTATTTACATATTTCTTGTGCGAATACTAACACGCCACTCTTAATGTGCTTACCGCCAACGAATGCCAACGAAGACACTCTATACTTTGAATGGAGCAGAAATCTTTACATTTTAAAGTTTCGAAATATTAAACCGTAGTATCTAGTTGGAACGGGGAGAAAATTAGTTCGATAAATAAACTCTCTTAAAAGATTGTAGTAAATTTTATGTATTGAGAATATTAGATAAAAATCAGATGTGGCTAAGAAGAATATCACGATGATAGTTGTCTGTGCTGTAGCGATTTATTTATTTTTGAAACAATTCGACCTGCAATTGATACAAATTTTATACATCAGCTCTTTCACACGTGTATTATACTTATATAAGTGCGGGTGTGCAATTTGAAACGCAACCCATAAACAGTCAAATATCAAGGCACGAAAGTGAAACAAGAACGGGTACATTTCCCGTACAACGGACCCTCCCACAATCCCCCATAACTTTAGCCAAGGTCACTCTGGTTGATAGGCCACTGCTGTATGTAAGATGGCGTATTCACGAACAGAATGTACGTACAATTTCTGATATTGCTTCACATCCAGATGACTGTATGTTATTATTAACATTTAATTTTGAGTGTTCTAACACTGAACCACCGAACGAGACAACGGTACACAGACTAGAGACAGAATTTCTGGACACAGGGAATTGTTTGCCATTGACAAAGTGGCTGAAATTTTGGATGTACCGATTTCAAGCAGTGCATCGCCTGCAACTACGGAATACGACTTCGTCTTTTTAGCGCGAGAAAAGTATCATATCCAGTACATAGGTTTCGTTTTAGTGGAACACCTGGAATATCGATGTAAGACTTGAGGTTCTCACAGCGGTGAGTATGAAGATTTCCGTCTTCTGGGTTGTTGCGCTGTGTAGTCTGGTCGATGTTAACCAACGTTTCAGAG